TGGTTTGGGGACATACCTTATTGTATATAAGCGTATACGAGTATTACTCTGCAGAGCAAGTACAGTTCTGTACTATTTTTTTCATACATTAAATATATCATATAACCATAGACCTTATAATATAAGATTATAGTATAAGGTCTATGCATATAACTATTATCATGATATTTTTTCAAAAAAGAGCCTTCTGTGACCATATATAATTTTAAAATTGAAAAAAGTTATAATAATATTAGTAATATAATATTTTAGTTTTGTATGATATAAAAATATTTAAAACAGTCATCTGTAAGCTTATAACTTAAAATATCAGTGGATAAATATAGAAACTTTTGAGTTTCATTATGCTTATAGTTCACATTTGTAGAAAAAAAACTAAATTTGTTGAATCATTATTTTCAGAAGTACGCAGTCATATAATGGATATATTTCAAAATAAATGTATTGGCTATAATAAGTAGATGCATATTATTTATATGAATTTATTCTTATCTATTGACTATTACCATTGATTATAGAATATACTATTATAGTATATTCTATAATCAATGCTATTACATTAAAAAGTGCAATTTGTAAGTGTATATTCACTTATTAACATTGTTAACTATTCAATCCTTGAATTAGGTATATTTAGCGAGTGTTGTAAATTACTTCAAATCCATAATAAAGTGGCTGTTATACTGTTAACAATTTTTGTTTCGAAAAGTATTAGGTTTTTTATTTATCGATATTTTATTTTAAGAAAATTTAAAATAATACATTTTAACATTGTATTTATTAAATATTAATACATGATAAAATAATCATCTTATTTAATTTATTTATCCTTAAAATAATAAGTATCAATGTGTTTAAGTATTTATTATAATTATTACTTATTTCTGCAATTTCTTTCCAATGCATACTGTATAGGTATTACTATAATATGCACAATCAGTGCAAGTACCTACTTACCATAATATATTTAATAAATTATAATATTAATTACTATATATATTTTGTGTAAATACATTAAAGTATGGGTTAATAACGATGAAGAGTAGGTACTGGTCCCAAAACAAGTTTCGCATTAGACGCGACAAAAAAACTGATAATGGCTTATACAGTAAGCCGTATATAATGGATTCGTAACAAACACAACGTGCACGACCTAGTCCTTAAAACATTTATGATAGTCAGTGTGCCCTTTTTGTGACCCGACCACCCAAGCCCGTAAAAAAAAAAAAAAATTGCAGCAATCAATTATAATTATATGTGTAATGTGACTAACTTTTTTTCAATTGTTTTTCTTTTAAAAAAACACTGGGACATTCATAATATGAATAATTTTATTATATTTTTAATTTTATTTCGACATGATTTTAAATCATTATAAAATAATATTTTTGATAAAATGATATATTTTACATTATTTATTGTTATAATTTGCTAAGTTTTTAGGTTTTTTAATTTTTAATTTCATATTTTTGATTATAAAATCAAGGTTTTGATTTATAACAAAACAAATTTTGGATGATCGATTAATTTTTTTTACATACCTGTATTTAAAGTTTAGATGAACAGAGTAGTAAATAAAATTTTTATACGGTACCTATGTGCTACTGCCTACTGCACTTTACTTATAATTCCTAAACTATTCACTCAAAATTTGATGTTTACACATGAAATAATCAAAATAATAATTTACAATAAAGAATCAAAAATTGTAAATTGCCATTAAAAAAAACTAAAAACACCGATAAAAAATATCGTCTTGTATAACTAAAAATATTTGAAAAAAGAATCATAGTATTTTCAATAACATAAAGAGTTTTTTGAAATAGCGATTGTTTTTGATAACTATCACCTAGTATAATACTCGTTTATTTTATATACAATTATTAATCTAATTTTATCGACCATGTTCTTTTATCAGTGTTGTGTATCTACGCTATAAGTACACTGAATTATGTTTATTATTGTTAATATTCTTACTATCACGTCTATAGTCTATGGTTTACAGCGGTCATAGATTAGCTATAATAATTGTGTCTAGTCATAATGAAAACCGTTGTATTCTGCAGACGTCTGCTAAAGTCCGGTGTTCCGGTAAAGCAATACAATTTGATAGGTCACGTTGTATTATTATTATGTCGCATAAATAATAAACGCATAAACGTGTTGCACCTACAAGCTGCAGCTGCAATATCAGAGTAATAAGTCGTAAATATATATTAATATATAAATATAACTCAAAAATGTTTCCTCTCGTAATAGGAGGTAATATATTATAACATGTTTTAACCGTGCAACGGTTCATGCCTGCAATTTGATATGTTTTTTTGTTGATGGTATTTTTTTTTAATTTATTCACTTTATCAACACGGCTTATTAGCGACCACAAAAACTACTGTTGAGATGTATATTTTATAAATTCGTAATACATCACTGCAATTTCGACTAAAGTATAACGCTCGTGTGACCTAATATAGGTACCTAAATAATTAAATTCAAACGTATTATATCAAATAATTTCTGTATAAAATTCGTATACGTGAACTGCTCTTGTATTTGATTTTGGTCCTGCAGTACCTTTGCTGTACCTATATATTTATAACCATGATCCGATTTATGCGTTCGCCGTAATATTACTATTTCTACCGTCAGAATCAGGAAAGACTAATAATATTATGTAGTATTGCATGTTATGACTTATGAGTAATAAGTTTATTAGATGTAATGTTTTTATTATAATATATTTATATTTATACACGAATATGTATACACACTGCGCATTTCATGCTAATATATTGTACATAAATATAACATTGTACATTATATTATTATTATTATTATTATTATCATTATAAACAGCGACGTGTCATAATATATCGAAGCATAAACGTGCCGGTTCCTCCGTGTGTTAACCGATACGATTATAATATATTGTTGAATATCTATACCCAATACACATATATTATGTTGTTATTTATTTATAAATGTTTATAAGTACATACTGTGGATTTACATTATAATGGGAAATGTAAATGTAGATTATAATAGTTCACGACTGTCTGAAATATATACGCGCATTTACAGCAGCGATCGTCGCGCTGCCTCGAGGGCCTTTGCAGCTGGTTTAGTTCTTATGTGTATAATATAGTGTGTTTGTGTTTTAATTTGATGCGATCGGAAAAACGTGCCAAATACCAAAAGCGCTTCTTTTATCGTAAAATTATTCTCTAGAAAACGACACGTAAATCAAGCTAACATAATATAATACTTCGATATTCGCCACGGTGTACTACCACTGAAATAATCAGATTATATTATATATGTGTATTTTAGAAATCTCATCGTGTATATTTCTGCCAACAACTTTATTTTTAAATTATAATTTGATTAACATATGGTCTTGCTAAAAATTACTATCAAGTTAAAAATCTACAGTTAGTATAATCTACAATCAAAAAAAAAAAAAAATAAAAAAAAAAATAAAGAAAAAGAAAAAGAAAAAAAATCCAGTTTTTGCAAATAGCCAATAATAATTATATTACAATGCTTATATAATTTATGCTAATATTTTTAAAGCTGTATTTCTAATGTCCATTAAACATTCTAATAGCTGAAATGTAGCTACATAATGATGGTCGGATGAACATATACGAGTACAAAAAATGGTGAGGCACTCAGTACGAAGATTCATGTATGGGTGTGTGTATGTGTATGTTTATATTGTTGGTGCGGACTTACAGGGTAGTTATATTAGTGTGTCCATATAGTGCATAATATAAGATAATAACGACTTATAATACTGTAGTTATATCTGCGTCGGCATTTTCCGCCAGACTTAATATATACAGCATCGCTGTATGTTATTATTATATTAAATGGAAATTAATTCCATTCATCGGCCAACGATGGTATAAATACGTGTAGACGCGCAAACATGACGATTGCGCGCAGGTACACGAATGCACGCTGAGACGACGACGTGCATAAGCATACACGAGTAGATTATGATTGGTAAATAAATAAAAGAAATTTAAAAAAATAAAATAAAAATTATTCGCGTTGTACACATATTACTATCATCGATAGGTACCTATTATAATATAACATATATACATGTATAAAGTTGTGCGGACGCAGGACGTTGGTATTATAATATATTACTACAATACAGTTAGTCCGATGACCAAACGCGTGTATACGAGCCTACATACACATATTAAGCATATGTATACACTATACTTATAATTTTAATAGGTATACAATACACACGATAATATAAACATAGATTATAGGTCGCAAAAGCGTATGACGACGGTTGACGGTGTTTATGCTATTTTCCCCGTTGTGGTTTACTCACAGACCACAGTAGCAACTATAAAATATGCGTTGTTCATTTTATATCGAACGGGGTGATTATTCATAATTATTTGTTTAGAACACTCGATGTTTTTTAATTTTGACCTAAAATAATCTCGATTTGATCCGGTTATGTTCATATATGAAATGGTCTTAAGTTCTAGCACCTCGTTGGTACTATCGTCTCATCATATTATCTAGTTATACTATTAATATTTATTAACTATAAAAATATTATCACTTCAAATTAGCCAGTTTTAGATTGGTATTCGTGGGGAAAAATAGAATAAAATAATTCGAATTAATGGATCAAAATATAGTCAAAAATACTTTTATTAAACACACACACTAATAGAATCTTCCGTCCCCGCGGTCTGTCAATGATAAATGGTACGATAAGTGCATTGTACAACACATATTTTTGTGGACTGAACTTCGTTGGTCTGACATTCTACTATTAGTTATTTGTTATTTTGCTTGAACTTAAGTTTTATCAAACTGTCTATAAGCGTATATAATATAGTTATAGTATTAAATATGTACGATATTATAGTCCACACAACCATATTTATTTATTTATTATTATCATTATTATAGATCTTATAATATTATGATAATAAATGATGTATATATTTTTTTTGTTTCAGCACACACTGACTGGACACTGCGCTAAAGTGATGGCTGCTAAGTTCATGGGTGAACCCAACAAAGTGGTGACCGGCAGCCATGACCGCACGCTGAAGATATACGATCTACGCGTCAGAGCATGTGAGTATATAATATTATATTTATGTACCGTATACTCATCGCGAGCTCGTCGTGCGACAATTAATAAACTAAGCCAATATATTGTACGAGATTGTACATTTAACTATAACGTGGCTTTGTGTAGTTGGTGGCGGTCCAATAAACTACACCGATATATAATATATGCCTCGATAACCAATACTATGCAATAAATAGCATCCTACAATCTACATATTTATACAGGGTGATCCTATTTTTGTAAATCAAACAGAATATCATAAGATGTATAAGAAATTATCTATTATTTCATTTTTTTTTTTTTTTTAAATATTATTTTACATTTTTCTACGATTAATAAGTTTATTTTTGATATATTTAAATAATAAAAAATAATTGTTTTCTAATTTTGAATTGGTTCAATATGAAAGAATCACCCTATAATAGTAGGTTTGTGTGTAACGGTTGCATAACGTTATACCAGGTATCGTCAACACGTTGCTGTTGTTGTTTTTATTATTATAAAACTTTTTCCATTAAACGCAATAATATGTTATGTAGGCGTCGAGACCAAGTTCGCTATGTCTAGTTGCAACGATCTGGTCACATCGGAGACTGTTGGCACGACCATCATGAGCGGCCATTTTGACAAGAGGATACGATTCTGGGACACAAGGACCGAGAAACCGCATACGGAGATCGAGGTCCAAGGACGAGTCACGTCTTTGGACTTGTCCAGAGGTAAGCGTATAATCTATACATAAATACATTCATAAATATATATGTATTATGTATATATATTACCGTGAGCTCTTTTAGTTTCTTATGTGTTATTATATCATGTGTTATCTAAAAAAAAGGTAAAAACCACGCCCACGCGACCATTTCGGGCAAACGTGCGTGTAGTGTGTCCTGAAACTGATAATTCTTATAAGGGCTGGCCTGCTAACCATCACCGTTAACATTTCTGCGGAAATAATATACTGGCCACCCCGTCATTGGGAAAATGCCCGAGGCCCGGTGACCAAATTAGTCAAAGTCTTCAAACATTTGTCCTATATAGATATATATAGAAGCAGTATCGTAAAATATTGCTATTTCCACAACACAAATTATACAAACTCAACGTATGTGTATTATGTATATAGTATTTAGTTTCATACGGCTATATTGACAATAATTTGTAGTTTTTTCGACTAAGACACGGGATAGAAAATAATAATCTTACTCGCCCAATACATTTTGGGGTCGAATTGGTAATCGCCCCATGTAAATATTAAGGTGTACTCGTAGTTTTGCTCGTGATTATAATATACTATTCAACCAGGGCGTGTCGGCGATTATGCATGGAACCGCGTCAAGTATACGCGCGGTCAGATGTCATCACAATATTGTCTACATGTTTATATATTGTTAAAACACGTACGCGACGTGCACGATTTTTGTCTTCTCATAACACTACACCAAGACGAACTTGCAGGTCGATGAGATACCTCAGTACCGCCACCGCATAATATAAAATATATCGATCTCGATCGATCGCCAATGTATTGCGCGCGCGTGGTTTATCCTGAAATGATATCTGCACGCCGTGAAGGCGCGACTCTATAAATATAATATTATGCAGTCTACGCGCACAACCGTTCCATCAGTTATGTATACTTATGGCGTCCGAGTCATTAAAATCTATCGAGATGAATTTACCGATTTATCGCCCACCCAACCGGTGATATATATATATATATATATAAGTATATATGTATATATTTGTAGCATGATGGTTAACCATATGTCTGCGTATAATGCGTGCTTAATCTACAGGGGCGCAGTTTCAGGTTTCCAATGTATAATATGATATGCGTGTAATAATATATGCGTTTAGGGGTGTGGATAAATTGTATAGGCAGACGGGACTCTTTTTATCGACAGCGATTTCTGTGGAAATCACATATGCGTATGTACGTATGCAAAATCATAAAATTATCGCTGCATCATCGGTATAAAAATAAACTAAATGATTTTTAAACCGTTTATTTATTCATAAATGGTATGGCCTTATATATTGAGTGTCTATTGATGGTTTATATTATTATACTTATATGAATGTAGCAAATGTATAGTTTTTCTCCGGGGAAATTTTTAATGGACTTTAATTGACAGGAATGTCGATTCAATAAAAAACTATATGATCCCCAAACAAAATACCCTATTACTCGATTAACAGTTGACGTACCCGAAAGTTAAATTGAACGTTTAAACACATTACAGTTAATTGAAGGATAGTAAATTATTTATATATTTTCCACTCGAACTTATGTACAAACATCGGTCTGGCCCTGGCAACGTCAGCGGCACATTAATTGCTCATCGATTTAGCATAAACACATCATTATCATAATAATAATATGTAATAGTAATCATTTTTACCAGATTCTATAAAAAAAAAAAATCATTCTATGCGATTTTTTTATTTCACGATTTTGTTGATATCATATCCAAGTCCGAACGACTGGAGTTGTGTACAAAACATTTACGGTCCATCGATGTACTGTTATACCTGATACTATGTTATGCTCATATTATAATAGATGCTAACATGCGAAATACACCGATCTGATAAAATGTTGGCTTTATAAAGTCTCGTATCGATTATAAAGAACCATGGTGGCGTGTCAATTAGCATACGAATATGCACGTATATCCATAACTACATTTACAGTATAAAACTGACAGCATGTAGGTAAATTGTAAAGTCAGCAGTAGGTACGTTGGTATACATAATATAATATAATATTAACACAGCTGAAGATTCGATCGAGTCGGAGAGATTGTGTTAACATGCGCGTATATGAAATTAGAATATTGGAAGACACAATTTATTATAATACACAGATAAATCTTACAAATGTATTAGCTGTCTTCTGCGTTTTACTATTTTGAATAAACATATCGTGTAGGTAATATTAAAATATTATCGATTGCACCTACATTGTATGCGTCTCATGACAATACTGCACATTATGATGGTTATTATTTAGTTGTATTAATATTGAAGTTGCTGTTGATTTGAACGTAACCAAACTCGTTTAAATTGAAATAATATTAAAATTAAAAAATTTCACATAATTGTACATACCATTATAATATTATGTATATTATACAACTAATGCACATATTATTACTAATCGTATTGTAAAGGTAGTTAAGTCAAATAAATGAACATAATTCTTTTATTTTATAAAAACAAAAAAATAATAAACAACAATTTGCGAGCACGTAATGGTTTTTTGCTATAAAAAAAATAACAAAAAATAAAAATTGTAAGAAAAAACGTGTGTACCTATATAAAAAACAACAACTACGGTTAAAATTCAGGAAATAATTTAAAAAAATTAAGGTTAGGTGAATAATTATAGTCTAATACCAATAATAATAATAATAATAATAATAAATGATAATAATAATTATTATTGTTTATTGCTTATAATCTTGCTAATAGCCACAGCTGTGTAATTTTATTATACAGTAATTCCATATTATTATAAGTACGATAATATTTTACAGAATTGTCATGATAATTATCAACTTTTTTACGTGGAGTAAGGAATTATGAAGTTCCTATACCTGTGGTTATATAAGCATTGATCAAATTATTATATTACAATTTCCTATTCAATATAATATGGATTCATAACTAAAACATTGATTTATCTACTGCAATACACTGTTATTTGGATTTTTAATATTTTTAACGTAAAACCAAAACAAATTACGTGATACTATTCTATCTTATTTTAATTTTTCATCTATACTTTATTGTAATTTTCATTTCACTATCGGATTATGTTCATAATATTATGTTGCCAGAAACCTGATTCCATTATAACAGCAAATAATCATCTTAATTTATTTGAAAAAAAAAAATATAACATTATTTTATATAATATATTACATGTTAAGTTTTATTTTTAATAAAAAAAAATATTGTTTTTTTGTATTATACTTTTATTTTTTAACAATGATTGAAATTGTTTATATCATTTTAAGTATTATGGCATTAAATATTATTTTAAAGTTATTTTACACCTTATTGTTTATGGATAGACAATATGTTGATAAATTAGTATTTAAAATAATTTTTAAACAATTGCATAGATATATTTAATAAAATATTATGTTATTACGTTGTACATCCGTTTAGTGACTAAAATTATTTTAAAAATATTTTGTTCAAAATATTATATGAAAAAAATTATGACACACATCGAACAATTATTTTCTTTTTATGATGAACCATTTTATCACCGAGAAAAAATATTGGAAAGTTATTGTTTCCATAAAATACTATTCAAACGTCATCGCCCTTAAACTCATTCATTCGCATATAGGAAATAAAAATGCAACACTTTATAGTGTTTTATATGTGTGTGTGTGTGTATGTGTGTGTGTGTGTGTGTGTGTGTGTGTGTGTATATATATATATACACATCAAAAACGGTAAATTTTACGGATACATAAAATAGAACAATTTATTATGTACATTTATACATACGTATTACATTATTATAGATAATGACTTAAGCTTTAGATAATTATTCATTATAAAAACAATTGGCTTATTATACAGTGTATAATGATAATATATACAAGAGCAAATTACATGTCTTACATGTATATTATATTATTATGTATATATAGTCTATTTATACCTACATTTATATGTATATATATTATATATTTATATGCAGTTTAGAAAAATAAGCTCTTGGGAGTAATTGATCAATTATTTAAATATAAAATACTCGCTATACCAATTATTGCACTCTAACATGGCGTCATAGAAGAGAAGGCACGTCTTTTTTTCTTCTTTTAGCATTTAAACACATATAAGTAATATTATAATCGGCATTAATTAATACGTCGGAATGGTATTATACGCGTATGTGTATATATGCATATGTACGTAAATGTGTTTGTATATATATATATATATACATATGTATTAAAGTACGGTGATACACGTTTGCGCGTCTAGTACACACACACACATACACACACACATACACACATTTAAATAAAAAGTAATAACAATAATAAATCGTAGCATTGTTGTCTGACCCGCAAACTATAATTTAATAATATAAAAGATCTTTGATTATATGTAACGCGCGCGATGACTATCAATCATTCGAGTTTCATTATTAGTTGTATTAGCACTATATATCATTATTATTTTTTTAAATAACCGAACTAGTTCTCTGCTGTATGGTTTTTATTTTTGATTATTATTACTTACCGCGCACGTAAATTAAAATATACCCTGATTACTTTTTAATATCTACTTAATAATAATAATATGTCGGAGTATAATATTGTAATACGATTCGCTTTGGTAATACTTAAACAGTGTTCGGCCAGCGCCGTGCTTGCTGCATTGGGTTCGACGATACACAGGTAGTTAGTAAAACGTCGTCGCGCGGGTATCGGCGAATTCTCACTTCATTGCGATGCTGCACGTGCATTAAATTTATCGATCGCCGCGTTGTCGTCCGTGTTTGTCTCACCGAACTGACCTCAATATTATATTATATTGTATACTTATTATAATATGCACGCGTTTTTATCTGTGACTTTGTAAGGCAAAGGTGGGTATGCGCACGCGTCTCTATATCATCGGTGCTACATTGCTTCGTATCGTGCTTATATAGATGTGTACATAATATATATATATATATATATAT